CTGTATATCGATGAGACTTCGTTGACAGACTAATATTACAATGAAATTCTTAAAGTTTAGGTACTGTGTTATTTTGTGATGTCAACGAACACTCATTGCCATTTTTGTGATGTCAACGAAAACTCGTTGCTATGTTTGTGATGTCATCGATATCCTCGTTGTCACTTTCGTAATGCTCGTTGTAATAGAACTTTATAATCGCAGATAAAACTATAGTAACGCCGTTGAACAATACTGCTGCCAGACTCCTTCGAATATCACTCGCACTAATAGTACTTGCTTTATAAGACTCGCTCGAACAGTAATCCGTATAGTGATCCGAATAGAGAAATGGTATATAGTGAATAGAGTAGAGAATAATGGTCCATATAGTAATAGAGAATAGAGTAGAAATAGTGATTCGAGTAGTAATAGAGGATAGACTAGAAATGGCGATCAATTAGACGACACGCTAACTTCTACTCATGTGTTTCCTCTATGGTCCCGTGGACTATTTAATTCAATAATGGGATCGCCTGTGTTTGCTCACTGGCGATCTATGTTCAAACTCAAGTGCCGGCAGCAACATTTTATTCCTATATAACAATTTTACGGCTTCATGATTCTTCTTCTTCTTCTTCTTCTTCTATAAGAATTTTATAACCTCATGGTTCTTCTTCTATTCTTCTTCTTTTTCTTCTTCTTTTTCTTCTTCTTTTTCTTCTTCTTCTTCTATTTCTTCTCCTTCTATAACAATTTTATAGCTTCATGATGATTCTTCTTCTTCTTCTTCTTCTTCTTCTTCTAAAACAATTTCTTCTTTTACCTATATAAGAATTTCTTCTTCTTTCTATATAACAATTTCTTTTTCTTCTTCAACAATTTTACAGCTTCATGATTCTTCTAGTTCTTCATCTTATCAAAGAATTATATAGCCTCATGTTTCTTCTTCTTCTTCTTCTTTTTCTTTGTACCATAATCTTCAGGCTCTCCACAATTTTCTGTTCGCTGTAGCTCTTAGTAAAATCCATCTTTTTATTATCTGTCCAAGACCCGGTTCTGCTAGCCACTGACACAAGCTTGTTATCGTAGTCTATGCACTGTTTTCCTTTATCGCTCTTTCCTTCAATATGTCCTGTGAGTGTCAAATTTTCCAAGCCGTTTTTTTCTTTTTATACGCGCTAGAAATGTTTACTGTCTCTTTCTGATTCTGAGTGCCATTTTGTTTTCAATATTCTTTAAGACTTCGTCGTTACTCACATATATTTGCGTATATGTGTCCCGAGATTTAGAGATAAGATATGGATGGACTGAGATCGACAGATGAAAGAATTCATGATTGCAGGATACAAAGATAGGAAAATACGAAAAGCTTTCCTAAGAGGAATGTCGAAACTGAAAAAAAGGTCCAATAGATTGAATGATAAATTGTAGTCGGAGGCAAAAGATGTCGGGATAAAAAAACAGAAGTAAACGAGAAGGGAAGGAAAGTGAGAGACTGAAATTCTAGTTTGTTTTATTTAAAAAAATGGATGGCAATGCTTCCAGGGTGGGGGGGACGCATAGAAAGCGAAAAGAAGAAAACCACAAGAAGAAAAGAAGAAATAGAAAAGAAGGTAAAGAAAAAAAACAAAAAGAAGAAAACGAAGAGAAAAAAAGAAGAAAACGAAAAGAAAAAAGAAGAAAACGGAAAGAGGAAAAAAGAAAGTGAAAAGAATGTGAAGAAAAAAACAAAAAGAAGGAAACGAAAAGAAGAAAAGATTAAAACGAAAAGAAGAAAATGAAAAGAAGTAAAAGAAGAAAACGAAAAGAAGAAAACGAAAAGAAAAGAAAAAAATGAAAAGAAGGAAAAGGAGAAAAAGAAAAGAAGAAAATGAACAGAAGGAAAAGAAGAAAACGAAAAGAAGAAAAAGAAGAAAACGAAAAGAAGAAAACGAAAAGAAAAGAAGAAAAAGAAGAAAAAGACACGAAGAAAAGGAAAAGGAGAAAACGAAAAGAAGAAAAAAGTTAAAAGAATGTAAAGAAAAAAACGAAACGAAGGAAACGAAAAGAAGAAAATGAAAAGAAGGAAAAAAGAACATGAAATGAAAGAAAAAAGAAAACGAAAAGAAGGAAAGAAGAAATCGACAAGAAGAAAAAGAAGAAAATGAAATGAACGTAAAGAAAACGAGAAGAAGAAAAAAGAGAGCAAGAAAAGGAAAAGAAGAAAAGAAAAAGAAGGAAAAGAAAGGAAAAAGATGCAAACGAAAAGAAAAAAGAAAATGAAATAAAGCAAAAGAAGGAAAAGATGAAAACGAAAAGAAAAGATAAAACCAAAAGAAGAAAATGAAAACAAGGAAAAGATGAAAACGAAAAGTAGAGAAGCAGAAAACGAAAAGAAAAAAAAGCAAATGAAATAAGACGAAAAAAAAGAAAACGAAAATAAGAATAGGAGGAAATTAAAAGAAGAAAACAAAAATAAGAAAGGAAATTAATAAATAAAAAACGAATGAAAAGGAAGAGAAGGGGAAACCATCCGTATATCTCCAGAGAAGCCCTAACGAAATATTACCGCCAAGGTTTACAATATCTTAGGAAAGAGAAACAATTATAGTACAAGAAAAAAAAAAGGAATAAATAAATAAAAAAATAATCTTCTTGCTCATTAAATTTTGCCATTTTTTTTTATCTCTCCAAAGCCATTTTCTGCCAATCATTGACACAAGATCTTTACGTAGGTTATAAACTGTTTCTCTGTGTTTCTCTAGCCTTTAATATCGCATGTGAGTGGCTATTTGTCCTTATTCCTAATTAAGTGCTCTATAAATTCCCACTGTCTGGTTTTGCTTCAATTTTCGTTACTCACAGGTTTACTTGCTCTTATTCTAAGAATTCTTCTGTAGAACCGTATATCTGTTGCCTGAAGTATCTCCTTCATTGTTTTGCTTTCATTTAAACGATATTTTTAGTGAACACCCACATTTGAGTAAACTCCGTTTATTTATTAAATGTTTATCTAATAATTGTTATCTGATGGCCTGAATATTCAACAAACATTATTGAGAAAATATCACTCACCAGTAGGATTTGACGCGCCCCAGATCCTTTCAGCCACGGAGTACGTCGCCTATCAATTATTCCCTAAAAATTACGTTTAAACGATAAAATCAGTTCGATTAATCCATTGGTTTATTTACGTACGGATACGAAATTGAGCAGATAGGCTTCCGAGAATATGGAAATATTTATAAGGCACTTTTCGGCCTTTCTCGATAGGTAACACTCTCCGTTGCTGCGTTGATGTAAAGCATGTTGGATCTAATGACAGTATTTTTTTCCTGCAACGTGGTCGCAGGTTCGAATCCCGCCGGAGGTTTAATAAAATTTCTGGAATATTCAGGTCGCTAGGCGAAAAGAAATATATTGTTTAAACCTTTGAGCCCAGACCACCGTTTTACCGGTGGTAGAGAAAAAAAAAAAATACGTAATGCCCAGCCACTGGTTTGAACAGTGGTAGAGAAAAATGGCTTAATGCCCAGCCATAGGTTGATCGGTGGGTAAACATCTGTAACTATTTTTTATATCTACCGTAAAACATGAAATACCAATTATTTGCAAATTTTAACTCATGAGCAGGCAGAAGGTTTAAAATTTTTCAGGAACGCAAGGCCCCAAGGGTTAATAAATAAACGAAGCGACAACTCAAATATAGTTATCCACTAAAAGTAACGTTTCATTGATAAAATACAATTAAATCTAACGTAAAATGTGAAAAGGAAATCTTAAGGCGCTTTTGAATCCTGAAAGATTCATTTCTTAAAATATATAAAGCATTAAAACATGAGAAAAAAGAAAAGAAAAGATTACCGAACAACTATGTAATATCTAATTTAATGAAGTGAAAGCGGAGTAATACACACCCGATAGAGAAGAATAATAATAAAAAGAGAGACGAATAAAAACAAAAGAGACGTGAATGCAACAGAAAAAGGGAGAAGAAGAAAGACGAAAGTAAAGATGTACATCGAAAAGAAAGAAAAATGACAAAAAAGATAGAAAAAATAAAAGCAAAATATGAAAAAGAATACTAAAAAATGAGAAGGGTATCGAAAGAGAGAATGTTGTGAAATGAAAGAAGAATAAAGTCAAATAGAGGAACAATACTGATGAAAAGTGAGAAGGATCTCAAAAGAAAGAAGGATTCGAAAAGAGAGCAAATAAAGCCAAAAAGAGAAAAACAAAGCCAAGAGAGAAGAACAATGCTGTAAAAGAAGAATACGAAAAGAGAGAAAAATAAAACGAAAGAGAGAAAAAAAGGCACAAAGAAAGAAACATAATTCTGATAGATGGAAGGATGTCAAGAGAGAATTAATGAAATTGGGGAGAATATAGCCAAAGAAAGAATATAAAAACCTCAAAGAAAGAAGCAGAATTCTGAAAAATAGAAGGATGTCAAAAGAGAGAATTAATAGAAAGAGAGAAGAATAAAACACAAAAATGTAGCAGAATTCTGAAAGATTGAAGGATGTCAAAAGATAGAAATAATGGAAAGGGAGAATAAATCTAAAGAGAGAAGAATGGAGACCAAAAAGAAGCAGATCTCTGAAAGATAGAAGGTGTCAAAAGAGAGAATTAATAGAAAGAGAGAAGAATAAATCCAAAGAGAGAAGAATAAATCCAAAGAGAGAAGAATAAAACCCAAAAAGAAGCAGATCTCTGAAAGATAGAAGGATGTCATAAAGAGAGAATTAATGGAAAGAGAGAAGAATAAAGCACAAAAATGAAGCAGAATTCTGAAAGATAGAAGGATGTTAAAAAGAGAGAATTAATGGAAAGAGAGAAGAATAAAGCACAAAAATGAAGCAGAATTCTGAAAGATAGAAGGATGTCAAAAAGAGAGAATTAATGGAAAGAGAGAAGAATAAAGCACAAAAATGAAGCAGAATTCTGAAAGATAGAAGGATGTCAAAAAGAGAGAATTAATGGAAAGAGAGAAGAATAAAGCACAAAAATGAAGCAGAATTCTGAAAGATAGAAGGATGTCATAAAGAGAGAATTAATGGAAAGAGAGAAGAATAAAGCACAAAAATGAAGCAGAATTCTGAAAGATAGAAGGATGTCAAAAAGAGAGAATTAATGGAAAGAGAGAAGAATAAAGCAGAAAAATGAAGCAGAATTCTGAAAGATAGAAGGATGTCAAAAAGAATTAATGGAAAGAGAGAAGAATAAAGCACAAAAATGAAGCAGAATTCTGAAAGATAGAAGGATGTCAAAAAGAGAGAATTAATGGAAAGAGAGAAGAATAAAGCACAAAAATGAAGCAGAATTCTGAAAGATAGAAGGATGTCATAAAGAGAGAATTAATGGAAAGAGAGAAGAATAAAGCACAAAAATGAAGCAGAATTCTGAAAGATAGAAGGATGTCAAAAGAGAGAATTAATGGAAAGAGAGAAGAGTAAAGCACAAAAATGAAGCAGAATTCTGAAAGATAGAAGGATGTCAAAAGAGAGAATTAATGGAAAGAGAGAAGAATAAAGCACAAAAATGAAGCAGAATTCTGAAAGATAGAAGGATGTCAAAAGAGAGAATTAATGGAAAGAGAAGAATAAAGCACAAAAATGAAGCAGAATTCTGAAAGATAGAAGGATGTCAAAAAAGAGAGAATTAATGGAAAGAGAGAAGAATAAAGCACAAAAATGAAGCAGAATTCTGAAAGATAGAAGGATGTCAAAAGAGAGAATTAATGGAAAAGAGAGAAGAATTAAGCAGAAAAATGAAGCAGAATTCTGAAAGATAGAAGGATGTCAAAAAGAGAGAATTAATGGAAAGAGAGAAGAATAAAGTACAAAAATGAAGCAGAATTCTGAAAGATAGAAGGATGTCAAAAAGAGAGAATTAATGGAAAGAGAGAAGAATAAAGCAGAAAAATGAAGCAGAATTCTGAAAGATAGAAGGATGTCAAAAAGAGAGAATTAATGGAAAGAGAGAAGAATAAAGCAGAAAAATGAAGCAGAATTCTGAAAGATAGAAGGATGTCAAAAAGAGAGAATTAATGGAAAGAGAGAAGAATAAAGCACAAAAATGAAGCAGAATTCTGAAAGATAGAAGGATGTCAAAAAGAGAGAATTAATGGAAAGAGAGAAGAATAAAGCACAAAAATGAAGCAGAATTCTGAAAGATAGAAGGATGTCAAAAAGAGAGAATTAATGGAAAGAGAGAAGAATGAAGCCAAGGACATAATAATAATGTTGAAAGTAAGAATGATCTCAAAAGAGAGACAGTCTGCGACAAGAGAGAAGAATAAAGCCTAAAGAGAGAATAATAAAGCAAAAAGGGAGAAGAAGAATAATGGTGAAAGAGAGAAGGATATCAGAAGAGAGAAGGTTATGAAAAGAGAGAAAATGACGCTGAAAGGGAGAAACAGAACGTCGAAAAGAGTGAAGAAGAATATCGACTAGAGATGAATAATGTAAAAAGAAAGAAAAATCCTGTCGAAAAGAGAGAAGAATATTTTCGCAAACGTAGTAGAAACGGGAAATGAATAACGCCAAAAGGAGAAAAAGAATAATTCCACAAGAGAATGCTGACGAAAAGACAGAAAAAAAAATTTGCGAAGAACAATGCCGAAAGGAGAGAAGAATATTGCCAAAATGAAAATTATTATGTCGAAAAGGGAGAAGAAATGATGCCAAAAAGGGAGGAGAAAGCAATAAAAAAAAAAAAATAAATAACGAAAATAGAAGGTAAGAAAAATTACTATGTAGCAACGAGACTAAAAGATAATGAATGTTGCGACGTTATCGATTGTAATGCAATTAACGTTAATGTCGAGTGATTTCTGAGGTCCCGGTTTTACTTTCTTTTAGGATCGCTTCATGCAATGATGAACCTACTTTAGGCCGCTTCCCGGAGTTAATTTTGAAGGCTGAGAATTAATTTTCGTAATTGCTTTTTCATCCGTTAAAACTAGGCCTTACAAATGTTTGCACTAAATAAATTTCCCGAGAAATATCATATAGTTGGCTCTCGTGCTCCTTCTTCAGTTAACAATTTCTTGTAGCGTGTTTGGGCATTGCAGGATGATATTTATTTTAAACTGGGATAGCAGGGGTCCATTAAATTTCTCGGTTGATGGAAACTAAGCAAAGTAGTAAGAAATAAGACAGTTTCATGAGTTAAAAAAAAGAAAGAAGAAAGTACAGTATTTATATTAGTCGGACTATTGTCCTCATCTTTGTCGCCATATTTGTCACAACGTTTCGGCCGTTGTACGCTCCGGCCTTCTTCAGGTGGTTGGAATTTCGAACTGAACCCTTTATTTCGATCACTGGGGAAGAATGTTCTAGTTCTACGTGCCATGTTTGATGGATGTCAGTTATCAGTTATCTCCTGCTAATTTTCCCTCTGAAATTTCTCCACTGCCTTAAACAGGAATTGAACTCACCTTCTTTGGGTCTGTCACTGGATTTAACCAACGCCTTTATCCACTGTGTCATGTGTCCCTGAGGCCGAAGAAGGCCGGAGCGTACAACGGCCGAAACGTTGTGACAAATATGGCGACAAAGATGAGGACAATAGTCCGACTAATGTAAATACTGTACATAATACCTCATCTCAGAAATATAGACAGACTCTGAAAGAAGAAAGTGTTAAACTCTTAATTTTTTTTTTCAGATGTTTTAGAATATCAACATTGCCCTCAGTGCGAAGCCTGGGGTTTGATGAGATGAATACTGCCACCATAATTTAAATTCATAGCTTTTAACCAATTATTAAACATTTAATTTTAAATATCGTCTGAAAAAATCTACAGAAATACGAAGGTTATTCCTTCAAAATCTTAGTATTTCAAACCTTACTATTTCAAGAATAAATACAAATGAAGTTGATACATTGAATAGAAAATATTTTCAAACCAGAATTCTTATTAGCAATCATCACAATCAAAATATGCTTCTTTTTACTGTATTCGATAAATGAAAACTCTGTAAAAACATAAATATTACAGAAATAGCTACTAAACTACAGAAATAGCTATAAGATTATCAGATCATGTGTTAAATCATAATTAATAAAAGCAAAACTAGATAAAATTATGTATAACACCATAATACTATAACAAGAGATCATCTGTCTATATTTATAACACCAGGTCATCTGTCTATATGTATAACACCATAGCAGCTTTTCCTCTTTGGGAAAAAGATATTGCATTTAAATTCAACACACTTTCCATTGTTTCTATGGCCATTCGTCTGAAGAAGCATATATATGTTGCTTCAATTCTCTTCTCTGACAAAATTGTGTAGTATTATCTGTCATATAGGATAGATATTGCATAGAAATTCAGGTATCTTTTCCTTGTTTCTATAGTCATTGGTCAGTAGAAGCATCTATCTATCGCTTCAAGTCTCTTTTTTCAGCTATGAGAAAATTGTTACAATTTCATATTTTCAGTTTCGTAATTTGATTTTCCAAACACCTTTTACGTATATATAACCTACCTTGCCAGCGGGACAATGGCCTAGTGGCTTAAAGCCGTGAAACGTGAATATAGTAACATAGTAATTGTGGATTCAATCCCTGGGCTAGGAAGTAGAGATCAGTAGAAAGAGCAATAACTGATTAACTAAAATTAAAAAATATATGATGTACGCACACACACACACATATATATATAGGATGTCCATAAAGTTCGTGTGCACTTGAAAAAAAATTATAACTCTATTTATATTTGCGATAGAAATAATTTGTAAAAAATATAAAGAAAGAAGTTAATCTATATACTTTTGAAGGTTTTATTGAAATTTTATTTAAGTTTCCACATGTCCTCCATCATTAGCAATACAAAGGGTAATACGATTTTGCAGTTCACGGAAAACATTTGCCAACTATTTCACGTTAATGCCTGAAATCACATTAGTTATTTTCGCTATACATAAAAATAGTCACATTAAACTTTATAACATGTTTTACAGATTATTTCTATCGCAAATACAAATAAAGTTATAATTCTTTTAAAATGCACACGAACTTTATGGACACATTATATAAATACATATATGCAACGAACTATTTCTTATTTAACAATTAAAATATTTCATCCTTGAATATGGCTAAATGTATAAACGAAAGTACTCGGAAAAAAAGAGCATTTAGACAGTTTTTTTTTTATAATTTATCATCTGAAATGAAAAAAAAAAATTAGAACACATGAGAAATTGTATAAAAAAAACTAAATAAAAGCACTTTGTCTGTTGTAGTCAATGAAATATTCATAAAAGTAGCATTGCTGCCAAAAATACACACATAACACACAAGCCAACACACAGGCCAACACACACACACACACACACACACACACACACAGACAGACACACACACACACAACATATATATATATATATATATATATATATATGAGAACAGTCTACCGTAGACTAAATAAAGGGTAGAGTTCAGAATTCCCTGGAGGTTATACAGAACGGTATACTCCTGATGAAAGCCGGAGCGTACAACGGCCGAAAATTTGTGATAACAACAACAAATTGAAGACAATCGTCTGAATGTAAATAATATTGTCGAACTTGTGGATTATTTAAAATATAAACATATTTCGGATGGTAAGAATAATTTTGTTTTTTGCGAATTAAGCATATTAAGAGAATTAATAATTTCACTACAGAATAAAAATGACTTTTTCCAGATGCAAGTCATACTATTTAATCCATAGCTAGGGGATCGAGGCGCACTCTTTCAAAGCTAGTAGCGCCTAAGTGAATGTAACGAATTTCACCGGAAATCGAACGCGGCTCACTGATATCAATTTATCCATTACACCACCCTCACATCCTCAATAAAAAAAAAGGGAAAGAATAGATGGCATTTAAACCGCGTGCAACTTTTGGGAACAGAAGGACAACAGAAAAGTTGAAATGATTTAAGGAGAGGAAATTGTAGGGGAAAAAAGGAGAAAAAAGCTGTTTGGAAAATCAAATTACGAAAACTGAAAATATGAAACTGGAATTAAAAATAAATAGGGGAATTCTTTCTTTATTTTTATTTTTTTAATTTTTTTTTTTTGTTTTTGTCTTTTTTTTTTTTGCAAAACGGAAAGATAATCGTGTCCCTTATTTGTGGGCAAAAAAAAAGAAAAATAAGTAAATAAAATAAAAGAAGCAAAGATGTTAGTTTACAGAATAAGAAATCTATGTGAAGATTTGTAGGAAAATGAAGATAATAGCTCGCCTGCAAAGCTATTTGTTTTTAAAATCAAGAAATCCGGGCTTACAGAAGAAGCAGGGAAGATATATTTAAAAAAATATATATAGTGAGACAAAATTGCCTGGAGAAAACCGACTACAACTGAAAAAATGTCGTTTTGAAAAATTAAAAAAAAAAAAGGAAAAAAAAAGGAATATTTCTGAAACAAGAAAAAAAAAACTGGGATAAATTTGAAAATTTAAAGTTATAAGACAGACGAATCGGAAAGTAAATTGACTTGCTTGATGATTAATATGTATATCTATCTATCTATCTGTGCAAATGCAGCTAGGAATATTGGCGCAACACCATCTTCCTACTCTCAAATGGCGAACATGTTTGGTTTGGAGTTATAGTAAAATTTATTAAATAATATCTATTTTGTGGCTGAAATATTTGGCCGATTTTTGATTGATTCATTTCTTTATGGTTTATCAACCCATTAAAGTTTTTTTAGAGCCAGAAAATATGTTTAAATTTTAATAATTTTTATAAAGGTAATAATGGTTTAGTGATACAAGACTTACGAAGAGGTGAATCCATAACTTTCCTAATGGTATTTGCGCGTTTAGTGAACATGATGAACCCAACCGGAATTGGAACTCGGCTCTCCGATAAACTATTCCGATCCGTTATGCATTACATCACTCGTTAGTTGAGGCGAGAAGAAGTGGGTTCAAACCTTACCCAAGTGTATTTACGTGTAACGAATCCAATTAGCAATGAAACTTGCCTATGAGATTAAAAACCTGGGCGAGTATCCATTTTCCAGCCACCTATCCAAGCTTACACTAATTCTCTAGGCGTTGAAGGAACATTAATGTGCTTAAGCAGAAATTGGCTAGCTGCTCTTGCAGATATGTTTATTCGGATACGAAATCCTAGCCATAATATATATAAAAACATATTTCAATGAACATGCCAGTTTTTTTTTTCAAAGACTGCTTAATGACAATCAGCCTAGACACAGAAAGTCTTGAAAACCTACCTCTTGGCAGAAATAGATGCAATGGGCGCTTAATGTGAGGGAATATGACAGAAAAAAAACATTATTAAGGAGGGAAAAATGTAAAAAGATCAGGAAGAAAGAATATTATGATGACGTTTGCATTTAAAGATTCCAAGATCAAAAGTGACTGGAAATTAGAAACTGGAAGGGAGTTTCACAGAGAAGAAGAAGAGAATAAACTATTATCCTAGAAGCTATAGTTACATCGAGACATTTCAATAGTAAAACGAGGGGACCTAACTGCCAATCGTGTACTGCATTAAAATTAATAAAGTCTGAATACCAAAGAGAAAAACTTATCAGAACAATTA